AGGGAGCTAAGCTAGATGATGGGTGAGCACCCTCCCAGCTCTGAATCGATGACCCCTCTGCAACTTAGAGAAGCAAGAGCTGACGTGTGTCCCCCTTGTTATAAGCCCCTCGGAATTTAGGCAGGCAGGTCTGTAGACAATGGACAATAGACCATCCTTGGGCCACTCGTCGATCGATCCATCGATCGATCTCTCTCTCTCTCTCTCTCTCTCTCTCACACACACACACACACACACACACACACAGAGCAGCTGGCTTGTGGCTTCTCACATAATGGGTACTAAACTCATTTAAGGTCCCTTCCATCCCTAAATTAATGACCTTACAAATAAAGCACATTCTTCTCCGGAGTTGTTCGTCTCTTCAGAGCATCCCTTGTCGCTCACACTAGGACAGGGCCTCAGCCAAACCAGAGGAGGCTCCATGTGGTTTGAGGAACAGTTCACACAGGGGTCAGGTACAAAGTTAGCTTTTCTATACCACATACTGGAACAGAGCCAAGCCTTGGCACTCAGGAACTAAAACCTGGGTGAAAGCGCACCATTTTTGCAAAGAAGCTAGCCCTGAGCCTTGGCCATGTGAAAGTGACATGAGGTTCTAATACAGGAGTTTTAAGACTTTGAGCTCACCGTGGTGTTTCTATGTTCTTGAGAGGTAATGTAATAATATCGAGAGCCAGCCTTGCCTGTTGAAGAGCCTTCAGTTCAAGTACTCTGAGACACACTAGCTTTGTGACCCCGGGCATTACTTAGCTTGCTCTAGGTAACTCTTAAGAGTACCAAGTTGGGGCAGCTAGGTGGTGCAGTGGATAGAGCACTGGCCCTGAAGTCAGGAGGACCTGAGTTCAAATTCGACCTCAGACCAAACACTTGACACTTACTAGCAGTGTGACCCTGGGCAAGTCACTTAACCCCAATTGCCTCACCAAAAAAAAAAAAAAAAAAAAAGAGGACCAAGTTGGTGATATTGGTGGAGGGACTTTCCTAAAACTAATGAAGTCACAAGCCCACCCCCATCCCGCCCTTTTCCACCAGCAACACACAAGACCAGGATCTGTCTCTCTTTACTTCATAAATACCAAACCCCAGGGCCCCTCCTCCAAATCAAAAATGAGTTTCTTACTGACATTTTTAAAAATCATAAACACATGAACTGAAGACTGTGTGGAAGGATATATCCAAAACAGTCCCAAATGACACAGGGCTTTCCATTTAGCAGAAAGTGAAGAAAGAATAAAAGCATTACCCCATCAACTGTTCCTCCCATAAACCAGTAACTGGGATCCTTTCTTGGCAACCCCTTAAATTTGAATCTACTTCACCTTGGAGCCTGAATTTTGAGGTAAAGATTTGGTAGTCAAGGGTGAAAACACTCAGCTGAGATCAAGATGTGAACAGAATTTTGGAACTAGAAAATACCTTATAAGTAATCTGGTCCAAACCCCTCATTCTACCCATAGGGAAACTGAGGCTTAATGAGAAGTGACTTACTCCAAGTTCCCCAAGCTAGAGGGGGCCAATGCACCTTGGGAAAATGTTCCTTTTCACAAGCCCCTAAACATATCATGACTGTTTTCCTGACATTTTCAAGTCCCGTAACATCCTGACCTATGAGAATGAGGCATCCTTTGGCTGAATCTGTGCCTTCTCCAAATAGGCATCCTTCGCAGCCTACAAAAAAAAGCCCCACTCCTGCCCTCCTAATAGTGAGATTGTAGCCATTCTATAGGGTGCCCCCAAAAGTCTGTGTAGTTTTAAAGGTTTGGCACTTTTTTTTGTTTGTTTATTTTTTAGACAAGTGGGGTTAAGTGACTTGCCCAGGGGTCACACAGCTAGTGTTATGTGTCTGAAGCCAAAACTGAACTCAGGTCCTCCTGGCTTTAGGGCCAGTGCTCTATCCACTGTGCCACTAAGATTTAGCACCTTTGGAACAGACTGTAGTGACTGCCTTCAAAGGATCACAGGATTTAGATCTGGAAGAGACCCTAGATATGTTCTAAAATCCAGTAATTTTACAGAGGAAGAAAGGGAGGCCCCAAAAGATTGATGTGATTTCTCCAAGGTCTCACAGGTGATAGTCAAGTAGTAAAAGCAAATCCTCACAAACCCCAAGCCTTCTCAGATTCCAAGTCCAGAAGTCTTTACATTACCACACCTCCACCACCTCGGCCAAACATCTGACCCTCTTCTGTTACGGTTTTTATACCCCTCAATTAACCTCACCTAGTACCAGCTCAGAGTGTGTGTGTGTGTGTGTGTGTGTGTGTGTGTGTGTGTGTGTGTGTG